TAGAGAGAGAGAGAGAGAGAGAGAGTTTTTAATATATATATATTAAAACTCTCTCCGCCTTGGTTTTTGGTGCAGGTGTCCCTAAATTCCGTGCTCCTGGGTTTATGCACGTCACATACAAACACGTGGGCTCGGAGTATGTTTTGGGTCAAAGAGGAGAGATCATGTACAACCCTACCTTCACCGAAAGGTTGTTCGAAATCAGGGCTAAAAATAGCGCCGGCCAACATAGCTGCTTCAACTACCGTTCAGTTATAGTACGGTGCATCAGGTGCGTATCATACTGCGAGTGCTATAAGCGTAGCAATGTGTTAGTGTTGTCTGTTTATCCTGATCGCTCACACTGTAGAGTGGCATACTCAGATATACGTTGATTTTGGGTCGTGTTTATTATAAATATGAATATATATATATATATATATATCTATATATATAAGTTGGTCCTGAGTCGTGCTTTTTAAATATGAATATGCATGTATATAAACACGTCGATTTTGAGTTGTTTATTTGTGTGAGTGCTTCGTATGCAACAAGTCGTTGTCCTTTTCTCTCCATCTTTATCGTTCAAATTGTACCGTAGCGTACAAAATATAGGCAACTGTACGAAGAATCCGCTGCTTGTATATATGAATATATGTATACATATGAGAACAATCTCTCATGTTTATATATATACCCAAACAACATGAATAAGAACAATCTTTCATGTATATATACCTAAAAACCATGACTCAAATTAGACGTATATATATACGTGTATATGCATATGCATTTATAGATATACGTTGATTCCGAGTCAGATATTTTTTAGGGGTGTATTACAGATGTAGTAAATCATTGGATTTTATGTCAATGCTTATCATTCCAATTGTGTCGCGCCAAATAGGCATACATTGGATCTGAATCGAGACATGGGGTACTTTAGTCCTACTATGGGCAGGGAGCTGGACTATCTGTGCAGAAACTATTTGGATTGAGCCGCACTAAAACATTCACACCTAATTTGGTCATATATAGCACTCCACAGAGACTCTCAGTGCGGAATTACAATAGCACATCGTTCCAATCAAGTACTGGCATTATACATTATAGCTACATGTACACGACAACGTGGCTTATCTAAACAGGCTAAAGTGACATGTATAAAACCCTAAACCCTAAAAGCTAAACCTTAAACCCTATAGCTACATGTGCACGACGGCTTGGTTTGTCCACACAGGCTTGCGTATCGTGTGGTTGTGATGTGTACGATGTATCTTCTGTATGAATCACAGCTAGTCAATAATACCTCTCTTTTATTCCTTCTGTATGAATCACAGCTAAGTATATAGTACCTCTGTTTTATTCCTTCTGTATGAATCACAGCTAAGTATATAGTACCTCTGTTTTGTTCTTTCTGTATGAATCGCAGCTAAGTATGAGATATCCCTCTTTTATTCCTTCTGTATGAATCACAGCTAAGTATATAGTGCCTCTCTTTTATTCCTTCTGTATTGAATCACAGCTAAGTATATAGTACCTCTCTTTTATTCCTTCTGTACGAGTCCCAGCCAAGTATATAATACCTCTCTTTTATTCGGTAAACCACAGTGAAATGAAGCGTCGGGCAATCGCAGAGGAGGAAGCTAAGAATGCAGCCATAGAACATGACAACGACAAAGTCAAAGAAAGCAAACGCGCGAACAAAAGACCGAAAAAAAAGGAAAAGAAGAAGAAAAAGAACACACCCTCGTACGACATGGTCACAGCTATACGCACCATGACAACCGTATTGCAGGCGCCAGCAGAGATGTACGCTGTGGACGTGTCCAGAGACGAAGGTCAGGCAATCATGCAGAACACTTTCAGCAGCAGTGCGGGGGGTTTCTTCAACTTCAGCAGAGCCGCCATATAGTACGTGTGAATTAATAAAAATGCATATACAGTGTACTCGGAGAGGCTGTGTGCACGGTATCCTGCGGTTAAGGGGACGGTGTATATTCAGCTCAGATGTGTATCCGGTACAGTATTGTTTTGCACCTCAAAAGAAGCCTGTACACGTGGAGTATTAGTTGTATGATGTCAAACCTAAACCTTAAACCCCTAAACCCATATACGCCAGGCGATGCGGTGCTGACTTTCGGCATCTAGATTGGCTCTGCTCAAACAATATATGTTCCTGTATTTGTGCAACGTGGACATGGACGTATATATGCCCTTTTCCGAGCTCTTCAAATGATACGCAAACAACTCTACCCACTGCTTATAACACGCCTATCAATCGTGTTCTACTTTTTTTTCGACACTGACTTGAAACTATTCACTTATTCGCTGTGCGTTGGAAGAGCATGGCGTCTCGGCTCTATTCGACCCATCAACATTTTGTGATCTATTGTACAGATATATAATACCATGGACATAACATGGTCTCTACGACACACCACACAACCGGAAGTCAATGTAATATCTAAATTGTTGTCCAATTGGCAGCATACACTCTCCAGAAAAGTTTGTAATTCTATCCTAGAAGAAACCATATTCAACGAGATCAATCTAAGCTTCAATTATGTAAAAATTCACATATTTGAATAGCTATA